TGCTGCCAAATCTTCACGAGCCTCAGAGAACTCTCCTTCTTCCATACCCTCACCCACATACCAGTGGACAAACGCACGCTTTGCATACATCAGATCAAACTTGTGATCCAGTCGGGCCCAGGCCTCAGCAATAGCTGTGGTGTTACTCAACATACACACAGCACGTTGTACTTTGGCCAAGTCACCACCAGGAACAACTGTGGGAGGCTGGTAGTTGATTCCAACCTATGATAAGAAAAAAATTCTGCCAATTGAACAGACGCGGCGCAGCAGTTTGTGATTCATTTCTATACGCATTAAATACAAAAGCATGTCTGCTCACAGGCTAACTGATACGCGCCGTGGGAGCCTTACCCGATTTCTGCTGCACGGAACGACTTAGAGTGCAGTTGCTCCCTTGAAGGGGATTTTTTCCCATTACAAGTTACCCTAGTAGTCCGTAATGTTTACCAGACAGATAACTTGAATTAAAATACCTCAGCGGTGAGAGGTTCTTAGAGAATAAGGTATCTTACCCTATAATATAACGCCCTTAACTTTTAATCCGTAGTCTAGCTCGACAACCATCAGGCACCACCGATTTTTTATACATTATTTCCTGGTATATTGACCGGAAACAAACCTTGAATCCAGTGGGACACCAGTCAACAAACTGAATGGTTCTCTTGGTCTTGATTGTTGCAATAGCTGCATTCACATCCTTAGGTACCACATCACCACGGTATAGCAAACAGCAGGCCATGTACTTGCCGTGACGTGGGTCACACTTAACCATCTGATTGGCTGGTTCAAAGCACATGTTTGTAATCTCAGCAACTGTCAACTGCTCATGATAAGCTTTCTCTGCTGAGATCACCGGAGCATAAGTGGCCAGAGGGAAGTGAATACGAGGGTATGGCACCAAGTTGGTCTAAATAAGACAACAAGACAGAAATTGAAATGATTTTATATCACCACCGAATCAATATGACAAGAAATGCTGAGATTCAGAGACAGTTTACCTGAAACTCTGTCAAGTCAACATTCAAGGCACCGTCAAAACGGAGTGATGCAGTGATGGACGACACAATCTGACCAATCAGTCTGTTCAGGTTGGTGTAAGTGGGTCTCTCAATGTCCAGGTTACGACGGCAGATGTCATAGATGGCCTCATTGTCCACCATAAAGGCACAGTCAGAGTGCTCCAGAGTGGTGTGTGTTGTCAGAATGGAGTTGTAAGGCTCCACAACAGCTGTGGCAATCTGTGGTGCAGGGTAAATAGAGAATTCCAGCTTGGATTTCTTGCCATAGTCCACAGACAGACGCTCCAGGAGCAGTGAAGTGAATCCAGAACCAGTACCACCACCAAAAGAATGGAAGATAAGGAAACCTTGCAAGCCAGTGCACTGATCAGCCTTAGAGAGGAACGATTAAGGAAGAGTCTGTTATGTAGCAATCAGAAAGTTGCTTTCGAGGAATTTAATTTTAATTATATTTTTCTGTGCAGCTTACCAGTTTTCTAATCCTGTCCAGAACTGCATCAATCATCTCCTTTCCGACAGTATAGTGTCCGCGAGCATAGTTGTTAGCGGCGTCTTCTTTTCCAGTAATTAACTGTTCAGGGTGAAACAGCTGTCTGTAGGTGCCAGTACGTACTTCATCTGAAACAGCCAGTCAACAACAACTTAATTAAATTAGTTCTAAGAAAGTTCTTGCAGCCACGAGCTATAATTACTCTGAAATTATCCTCGTTATTATCGAGAATTTCGATCCTGAGAAATCTGCAAAACAAGGCTGACAGTCAAGCTTTCGAGCTTTCTTACGAGTCAATACTTTTTGACAAAGAGGGAGGGGTGGAGCAGGGTCACAGGTCCTCTTGGAACTTTCTCTCTTAACCAAGTCCTTCTCTCGCTTTGTATTCATTTGAACAACGTCCTTAGCGTATTTTTTAAAATTTATTTTAAAATTTTGCTTATTGTTCTTGTCCATCAAAAGTATATCCGGAAAAGTCTTATTAACACTTTCGAAAGCGAAGGTTTAACATCACTTATTATCATTCAGCTGCCAATTTACCAAACGAAGAAGGATTCGTTTCCCATAAAGAGGCACCAGAGACTAATACAACTCTCAAGACTCTTCATTTTCCAATTTTTCCGTACTCTCTTGTTAAGAACTGATATCGGAGAGGCTCGTCTTGGATGACGATTCATCGAACGCTAATGCATGCAAATATATTTCCTCTCCCACGTAAATAAAGATAGGAAATTAGCAATATTATTTTCGTGAGAAAGTCCTAGCGGCCAAAAATTATCTATGACAAGGGTCCAATATGCAGAAAGTCAAACAATGGTTGAACAAATAAAGACGGGGAATTAATTTCGAACCCTTTAATTAATTTCCATTGGGGGGAAACTAAGTGTCCCGTAGGTAGAAACAGTTTTGAATGCATGAAATAGTTTGAAAAGTTCATTGTCTGATACTTTTGCCACTAATATTCGCACACATTCTTTTTTTGTTTTTTGTTTTCTGACTAAAGCGTTGAGGCTGACATTGACCCAGTTTTCAGAAACATGCAGAGACGTCACCCAGTCTGAGACAACTGATGGGGTAAAACATTAAGTGTAACAGCTTGAACCTGTAGAGAGTATCATTTACTTTGTCTTTTTAAAACAAAGCGCTGCGGGGGCGTTTCTGGCTCAAAACATCACGATAAAGGAATAAAATTTAGAAAAGCATTCATTGTTTAAGCCTTGACTGCAAAATTAGACTATCCGACTCAAACAGTTTATTCTGACTCGGTTGCCGAGAACCGCTGGAGAATGTCTTCTTTTCGGCTAGATTAGTACCCGGTAGCCACAGCCAACCTCCTGACCATAAATTCTTCCATGTAGTACCGACACAAAACTAAACCGTTTTGCCAAACCACGGAAATTAATGTAGACTTTGACAGCCTTGCCTCACTGATACGACACAATTTTACAGATGCACCATCTTGCCGGTGGGCGAGTTTTTCCTAACCGGAAGTTGACGGTGAAAGCGACTTTATTCGCTGGCAAAGCAATAATAATTACCGCTCCTCGATATTGTCATTATGGCTGGAAGTAAAAACAGCAAACGCGCTATTTCTTTCACGATTTATCTGATTTTATATTGATATTAATATTTCACTTAAGACAGTAATGTTCAAGTAAAAATTCAATTTAACACAAGGAGGTTGTCATCTGTTTATCGAATTTTGTTTTAATTTCAATAACACATTATGTCTTTAATGGTTTTAGTACTAAAACATGGACGCGAGTTGCAGTTTCGAAATTAGCAGGCAATCACCATTTCGTGCGCTGTAATATTAGTGCCACGTTAACAAAGATGAATATGGAAATGATCGATCCAAGCATATTTTCGAATTTATTCAACATTCACATCACCAGAACAAATATTTTCCTATCTGAAGGGGGCATACACTTGCTGAAGTTTAGCAATTCATTTTAGACTCCAAATTTTTCATTAAGCAGAATGTCGAAAATAAAACACAGGACTGTTCTCCTTTCACTCACCGACGACAGTTGGTTCCAAATCAACAAAGACGGCGCGAGGAACGTGTTTTCCTGCTCCAGTCTCGCTGAAAAATGTGTTGAAGGAATCATCTCCTCCACCGATTGTCTTGTCACTGGGCATTTGACCATCAGGCTGGATTCCATGCTCCAAGCAGTACAACTCCCAACAAGCATTACCGATCTGGCAACCAGCTTGACCGACATGGATAGAAATACACTCTCGCTAGCGGAGGACGTAACCAAAACTATATTATCATTTTGTAAGAATTGTCAAAGTTCTTAAAACAGCTTTGTGTCCTTTGTATCCTAGAGGTGAAACTTTTTAACTTACCATTTCGGACGGTATAGAATTTAATGGCAGAGAAGAAAGAAAAACGGAAGCTGGAAATAAATGATCCCTCCTTCGACAAGTAACCGACGAACAGAGATGACTCCAAATCAAAAACTGAACTGATCATGTACCAGCTCTCTATTATATATGGTGACAATGACGTCAACGTCACCTGGAATAATAATATAAACTCAGGTATATTACAAACCTGTCTTATAAGGGGTGTCCCCTTGGGAGTTCTCTGCAGGCCAGAATTTTTAGTTGACCCTTTAACCCTAAGGAGGGGCTGGCTTCTAATTTCTCCTCGCATTATCGCCCCCAAAATGGCTAGAGGTCATGATTGTCAAGCAAATTCTCCTTGTCAGTATTACAGGAAATGTAACGAGAATAGAGTATAGGAGAATATAAATATTAGAATCAGTCGATGTCTCATAGTGGTCTCTCAGAACGGCAGGTCGTAGCTTCTTGGAACAAATAATTTTATCGCAGCACCAGCGGGGGAGGGGACAAAGTTTTTACTTTTTTTATATTGGAACCACAAACCGGTTGAAATTATGCGTTTACCTAGATATTTTTTTTATGGATTTCTGGAAAGGTTGTTTTTTCCACAAGACTGTCCAAGCTTCGTACATGGAGGGCACTCCTTCAGCTAAAAATGGTACAATCTGTAAACCGGAATCGCCAGACCTCTAATACGGTGTTGCGGCTCTTTGAAAGGTAATATTCATTACCGATTTTTGTCTAGAAGGATAGCGGCCTAAATCAGGATCACTTCTTAGGGTCGTAATAGGGCCTGCTCAATAACTAGGTAACTCATTCCCAAACCTAAAATTTAATAAAACATCCTATTCCACCGAGGAACTTAACTGGTATTTCATGGGGAAATCTAGGAAATAGGGTGGGGGAAGTCATTATGGTCAAAGTTTAGAAAGTAAGGTTGTTCATAGTTCCCACTGGCACAGGGTTTAATTCATCTCTAGAAAAACAAATTGTATTATCATTTCCTTTTGTCATATTTAGTAAGTGAGAATTCTCGGCCAAAACTGTTATTAGGGCCCTACAAATGTTGTTGTTCCAAGGAAATTTCATGATAAGCTGTCACAAGCAACACAAATTCATAAAAACCACACTTCACTAGTCATGAAACAAACATTTATTCCTCAATCTTACAACACAATATCACAGAACTCAATCTCAAAACACAAAAGCATTAATTTTTTCTTCCAGGGTGGTCTTGTTTTGTCTAATATTCCTCCCCTTCTTCCTCACCTTCAGCATCAACGGAATCCACTCCAACCTCTTCATAATCCTTTTCCAATGCTGCCAAATCTTCACGAGCCTCAGAGAACTCTCCTTCCTCCATACCCTCACCCACATACCAGTGGACAAATGCACGCTTTGCATACATCAGATCAAACTTGTGATCCAGACGGGCCCAGGCCTCAGCAATAGCTGTGGTGTTACTCAACATGCACACAGCGCGTTGTACTTTGGCCAGGTCACCACCAGGAACAACTGTGGGAGGCTGGTAGTTGATTCCAACCTGCCGTACATGACAAATACATTTGTTAATTAACAAACTTTAGATTTGGTAAAGTAACAATACATTGCTCATCATTCTCTAAATTACAAAGGGCCTTTAATCAAAGAGAAAAAAAAAATATATATATATATACAGCTTAATCACCTTAAATCCAGTTGGACACCAATCAACAAACTGAATGGTTCTCTTGGTCTTGATTGTTGCAATGGCTGCATTCACATCCTTTGGAACCACATCACCACGGTACAACAAACAACAGGCCATATATTTACCATGACGTGGGTCACATTTCACCATCTGATTGGCTGGCTCAAAGCAGGCATTGGTGATTTCAGCAACACTCAACTGCTCATGATAGGCTTTCTCTGCTGAGATCACCGGAGCATAAGTGGCCAGAGGGAAGTGAATACGAGGGTATGGCACCAAGTTGGTCTAAATGAAATAACAAGAAGGACGTTATAAACATAACAAAAACCAACAGGAATCATATTCATTATGTACTGGAGGCAGGAATGTCAAGATTCAAATATATCTTACCTGAAATTCTGTCAAGTCAACATTCAAGGCACCATCAAAACGGAGTGATGCAGTGATGGACGACACAATCTGACCAATCAGTCTGTTCAGGTTGGTGTAAGTGGGTCTTTCAATGTCCAGGTTACGACGGCAGATGTCATAGATGGCCTCATTGTCCACCATAAAGGCACAGTCAGAGTGCTCCAGAGTGGTGTGTGTTGTCAGAATGGAGTTGTAAGGCTCCACAACAGCTGTGGCAATCTGTGGTGCGGGGTAAATAGAGAATTCCAGTTTGGATTTCTTGCCATAGTCCACAGACAGGCGCTCCATGAGCAATGATGTGAATCCAGAGCCAGTACCACCACCAAAAGAATGGAAGATAAGGAAACCTTGCAAGCCAGTGCACTGATCAGCCTATGAACAGAACATTACAAATTAGACTATCATTAACCATTCGTGGAAAAACAACTTAAAATAAATACACCACCAGCACAATACTAACCAATTTCCTGATCCTGTCCAGAACAAGATCAATCATTTCTTTTCCAACAGTGTAGTGCCCACGAGCATAGTTATTTGCAGCATCTTCTTTACCAGTGATCAACTGTTCTGGGTGGAACAATTGCCTGTAGGTGCCAGTACGAACTTCATCTGTCAGAAAAAAAATTTTGAGGGTGAGAATTCATCAAGTTAAGAAAATCAGCTTCACAATTCGAAAATATGATGGTTTCAGTAAGGTCAGGTCTGTGCGTAACAGCAAAAATTCTAGTGTTAGTTGCGTTGTGTTTACAGTAGTCAAGGGGCAGTTGCTATGCAGGTTACCAAACAACTAAAGTCAACCGATCGTACGAGTTATCTCCCAAAATCGATGGTTTGAGAAAAAAGTGCTAAAAAGTAGAACTATGAGTTTCGTGTTGAATCAAATGTTCGAGAATCGGTAGGTTTTTTAATACTTCAACGAGCACAAAGTACAAATTAGATTGTTAATTATTAAAATGTAGTATCACAAAGGAGTCTTCTTTCTCGTGACATATAGAACGAAAGCAGAATTAAAAAATTCCTAAGGATCAAAAGCCTAGTGTTTAACTGCTATCGATAAAAATTCATATAGAACCCTGCTAGTACTAATCTGAAAGCACTTAAGTACTCTAATGAAGAAATGAACGGGTCCTCGTTAACTTACCAACGACAGTTGGTTCCAAATCAACAAAGACGGCGCGAGGAACGTGTTTTCCTGCTCCGGTCTCGCTGAAAAATGTGTTGAAGGAATCATCTCCTCCACCGATTGTCTTGTCACTGGGCATTTGACCATCAGGCTGAATTCCATGCTCCAAGCAGTACAACTCCCAACAAGCGTTACCAATCTGCACTCCGGCTTGGCCAACGTGGACAGAAATACACTCGCGCTGAAATGGAAGGAAACAAATTTCGATATTTCGCAACACGAATGTTCCCTAACTGTGGGTATAAATCAAAGATCGGTTTCTGGAATTGTAACGTGATAATAAAACAAACGAATTCCCTTTCGTTGCAGCTTGAAGGGAATTTTTGCTGATCCCAGCTAAATTTCCTCGACGGAAAGGCACAAATTTTACTTTCAAATATTAAGATTTGCGGGACTCCAGAACTAAGAAGGAGAACTTTGCTTACCATGTTGATGCAGAATTATAGCAAAATGAACTGTAGAAAAATTTCTCTGTTCAATATATCGGGCGAAAGAGTCTTATATCGAAATGCGACGGCTTCGACGAAAGACAGTGCGACCGTTGAAATTAATGCAACCTCAAGTTTAGGCGCGTTTATAAGGGCGCTCTTCGTAGCAACCACGTGTTGTGGGTTAGTGACACAATGAATAATGCATAAATTTGCTTAATGCACTTTCGGATTTGATTGTCACTAGTAACGGGAGGGCTTAAGGCAAGTCTACGAAACTCCTCAAAAATTCTGAATCAAAGAGGCTTGAATGTCAAATAAATCAGTTTATGAGCGAATTGAAATAATGATCCAACGTTAAGTAGAGTACCGATGCGTTGAAGAGAAACGTTTGATCGAGATTGCTTCTTACCTATACCCTCCCCTGCTAGAACACGCAGTTTGTCTTCAAGAGATATTGTTTATCGTGGTTTGGGGTGTGTTTGGTCAGTGCATAAATTATGTTCATTTAGTAAAACCACACCCGCTTGTTGCTTGGAAACAGGTTAACCACTTGACATGTGAAAAGCATCCAGGGAGGTGACGTAAAGTTTTTTTACAACCTTCTCCCTCCAAGGGAGAGTAGTTTGCCCTCTGTTCAGAATATATCAAAGATGGTGACTCGGTCATACGGGACGACGAGACTTTATGCACAAGAAAGCAGAGATATTTTCTCTTTGGTCTCTAGCCGATACCATAATTTATTTCACTGGATACAGGAGAAAGAGCTGGTTAGCGGAAATAAGCTGGAATGAGCGAAGAGACAGCTATATTCGCTCTCTCTCTCTCTTAGCAGTCTTCCATCGTTTTTTCCTTTCGCTCCCTTTGTTCTTTCGCTTGTTTTCCTCATCGATTGCCTGAAGCAAACTTGGTTTTCTCTCCTTTGCAATTTTCTTTTTACATCAAGTATTTGAGTAGCGTTTCAGTGTAATATTCACAAGCAACAGACATTGTAGTCATCGTTATGTAAATTTTACTTTTGTACTCGTGAGGGAGTACAAAAGGCTGTGCCTAGTCTAGTACCCAGATCCTCTCGGGGAATTATAACTGCTTACAACTGCTTAGCCGTGAAAGCTCTAGGCATACTTGATTATGCTTATCGTCTCGTTCGAGAGGGGTTTATTTTAAAATCTTCCGAGATTGAAAGAAAGAGAAAAAGAAAAACGATTTTAATTCGACAACAGTTTTGATGGCAACTCAGGCTCTTGAAGAGCCTGGCAAAAGTTCCCACGGATAGAGGCTTGCGCGCGGATAGCAAAGGCCCCAGTTCCCCTAATTCTTTTTCTCGCTCTCCCTGCTTCAGCTCTCGCCTCAACAGTAAAGACTATCGGGATGAGAATACTTTTTCATGACAAACCCTGCCAATTTCATTTGCCGCATAATTTTGATAAATCGCGTTACTTTTTATCTAGGCATTTTACAGGTTGTGGTTTGTTTTTCTCTCATTTGGTGTAATGGTACATGTTATCACGACTTTTATGATTATAGCATATAAACCATTTTTTTTTAAGGCGAGCCCTCGTCTTGAACGCTTCTGGTTGGTCTCCCAAATGTTGCTCTATGTTTAGTGAAAGGCGTCGCCTCATCTTGGTAACGAGACTTGTTTTTGCTCAAAGCAGTGAGTTGTAGTAAGGTGAACCAAAACTTGAACCTGCCGGGGTTTACATTTCGCGGAGCACCGCACCAGCATTAACCTGTAGTTTCCCGCAGTTTTTAAGGAAAATAAGATTCACTGAAACTGGCAAAACACTACTACTGTGAACCTTGTTCGAGAAGCACCGTTACTACTTTTCGATAGGGATATAAGTCAAAATTTTTTATTTGAGACACACTATTTTCATCCAAACAACTTTTTTCAACTGGAAATGGTAAGAGTCTCAATCAGCTAGTTTTTATGGGGTTTCTCGGCAAAAGGACGTTTACTCCTATGAAAAAAGCGGAGATATTTTAGAATGCCGCCAGTATGGCGGTCTTGCCGAATCCAGTTCGCGATTGATGGTTACAAAACGGCTGCATATCCTGGCAGTCACTTTACAGTGTGGTTTACACGGTTTTCAGAAAATCGCGTAAAAATTCCTTCACTTTAAAACTTTGTTTGGTCTTCCGAACGAATCCTTTTCATAGTTTTCATCTTTCATTCTCATTCAGCGCGAGTGTATTTCTGTGCACGTTGGCCAAGCCGGAGTTCAGATTGGTAACGCTTGTTGGGAGTTGTACTGCTTGGAGCATGGAATCCAGCCTGATGGCCAGATGCCCAGCGACAAAACAATCGGTGGAGGAGATGATTCTTTCAACACATTTTTCAGCGAGACTGGAGCAGGAAAACACGTTCCTCGCGCCGTCTTTGTTGATTTGGAACCAACCGTCGTCGGTGAGTTAACTAGAGCGAAGAAACTTTTAATGAACATATGGAGGCTTGTGAGCTCTAGTAAGAAAAATGTAAAGAAATACAACTTTAGTAGCCTCTCGGTATGTTGCAGTCATGAACGTTATGATATGATGGAATCATAAAACTGGTGAGGTTATGGTACAGGATGAGAACACCGCCACATCCCATAAAGCGCTACAATTGCAGTTACAGTTAGCCCTTCGTGAGAGCGATAGACGAAGGGCTATGACAATCGTTCTGACAAAGGGCTAACGCTCGAAACATCAGGTTTTAAACTCTTTACGGTGGCCAATTTACGTTATCAGCTCAGTTGATAATACTAAATTACCCTGTTATACTTTCCCACTGACGCAGCACCACAGTTTCTATAGAAACTTACCCCTTTTATTCACTTGCAGTTACAGTTGCCTGTTTTTATGTTCTATAAACAAATAGTATCTCCTTCGATTTTCATCAGATGAAGTTCGCTGTGGTACCTACAGACAACTTTTTCACCCTGATCAGTTAATGACCGGCAAAGAAGACGCTGCTAACAACTATGCTCGTGGGCACTACACTGTTGGGAAAAGCATTATCGATCAAGTTCTTGATAAGATAAGAAAACTGGTAATTATCAATTATTAGATTTGATTTCGCCTGATAACGTACGTTACCGATGCCGAACTTCTTTGTTATCTTTCAAGCTGAAAGGCTGAGGTGGAAATAACTGTAAACCCGGAAGAAAG